TTAGATCATTTAAAATCCTACTATTTACATAATATGCAGAATCTATATGGGTTTTTTCATACAGAAAATATTTTTGACATTAAATTATGAAGCGCTTTTGCACAATATTAAGACGTTAATCTACATTTCAGAGGCTGATTTTGTTCGGTTCTGCTCTCCAGTTGTTTTAGGAACATCCATGTATATTTGTACTGTGGCTACAGTTTACTTTTCACGTTTGTTTTCACTGTAATGCTGCTTAATGGACTCATTTGGCTGTTTAATTAGCTGCTTTATTTATTGACATGCACGAAAACTAGCAAACACACAACAACCTCCTTGACACAAAACCGTCCCTGACCTGAAATCAGATCGGCGGATTTGACGCCGGTGATGAATTTTCCTCAATTCTGAGCAGCTGCACAAGCGACACAGCACCTCAGGAGAAAAAAACACCCCGAATAACCTGAATCAGGAACGGAGCGGAGGAAGGACGAGAGGGGGGCTCGCGCCACACAGAGCGGTATTGTTTTGGCCTTTGTATTAGTTTGTGAGTTGTTTGTATAATGCTACTGTTGCGTAAGTCCAGACCCAGATTCTGATCCTCTTAATATCGGCCAGAACTCCTCCATCATGGGACCAGTTATTTTGTGGGTCTTACAGCTGCTCGCAAACACACTCGCATGGACACACACCCGGTACACATAAAAATCCAAACACACAACACCCATGCAGGAAGGACGTGTTTATTTGTCTGAGAGTTCAGTGAGAAGGGAAGAGGATCGGAGTTAAATGTTTAAACATGTCGCAACACTAAACTCACATGCCCTGTGTGTGTGTGTGTGTGTGTGTGTGTGTGTGTGTGTGTGTGTGGATATTTGGCAGAAGAAAAATTGTTGAAAGTAAGTGAATGATTTAGTGCGGTGCTATGAGAGCGGCACGGGTCACGGTGACCTCAAGTGCACAAGGGTCACGCCTGGAAAAGGTGCTGGATGGTCTCCACGCACAAGATCCCGTCAGTCACACTTTCATTTTTAACCAAGCACATCTTAAAAGAGGGCAAAAAACAAAAATAAGCGACCTGCCGTCTCCCAGAATTCCCTGCACATTCCAGAGGTGGGTTAACCTGCCTGAGTTTAAGGGAGTTTAAGAGGTAGTTATGCTGTATTACGGAGCATTAGAGCGCTTTAGAGGGCCTTAGCAACATATTATTGTTGAAAACAAAGGAGTACAGGATAGGGAGGTTACATAAACCATAAAATGGGTTATGGGGGCAGGGGTTAGTGTGCCTTAACGTGCAAAAATCAAATACAAACCCCGAAGGCAAACAGAGCGATGGAGTGAGGGAGAACAAAAGGAGGCTGGGGAAGCGAGGATGTTATACCGTAAACAAGACAGGCATCCAAAGAAGCCTCCTGCAGAACGAACAAAAAGTGGAAGGCGGTCATGCTTGAATTCCTCAACATCCTTCTTCTGCTCGTGACAATCAGCCATTATTCCCGATCCATCGTCTCCAGCCTTTTTCTCCATCAGCGGCGTGGAGTAGCTCTCAGCTAAATGTCATCTTTGATGTGCAAAGGTGAAAGAAATGCTTTATTGTTCACCCCGGGGGCAGCTTGGAGTCACAGCCCAACATGTTCCTGTTAGGCCTCTTCCTTGTGTAGTAACTCAGCTGATCCATTACACTTTCTCAGCCATCATGAGACGGAGGACTCAGTGCACCTCTGATCTCCGTCTGCTCCCTCATTATTTCAACCCGGAGCTGCATTTCATTGCTAAGCGACTGCTAGCGGCCGTGCGAGACCAACGATGAAGCGAATTTAGGCAGCAAAACAAATTCAGGCTTCCAGGTTTAAAGCAGCTACAGTCAATATTTTTCATATAAACAATCAGAATCAGCTCCACTGGCCAAGTATGTGAACACACACAAGGAAGCTGATTCCAGTTTTTAATTAGCTCTCAAAGAACTGATACGACAAAAAACACATTTAAACGAGAGCAACGGGTTATTATGGAGTAGTGAGAGCGCCAAATGACAAAAATAAATCAATAAAAGAATAAAAAAACAGTTGTTCTTTAGCGGAGCTGATCAGTTTCCATTCACAGCATCATGCTGCTGAAGATGCTCCGTCAGAAGGTCCAGGATGGAGCTGCTCATGTTCTGAGGAGTCTCCCAGCAGTCAGGGAGGACCTGGTTTATCCAGCTGGCCCTCCAATGAAATATGACTTAGATTTTATTTTCATATACACAGTTACAGTCATAAGATTTGAGCAAAATAGTCCTACAGGTGATGAAGACAAGACCACAATTCAGACAAACTGCTACGGAACCGTCAGAGCCAGCAGCAGATTTCAGAAAGTCTTGCCTACATCAGGCTACTGTGAGCGCTGACCACCGTCACAGCTGTCAAACCGGGGCGCTCACATCTCTGAAATCGTTGGAGCTAAATTTTAAGCATTTTATCTTGATCCACTGACCACAGATGTGATGTTTATACTTTCTCACCTAAAATAATCTTAAAACTACATCATGTGTCACAATAACAGTAGAAGTTACAAAAACAACTTGTGTTACCTTTGAAAGTTTTCTCTTCGGCTTTCATCGCTGGTTGGCGTGAAATGCATTCTGGGATACTTAATGTCCAAAGTCTACATGAGGCTTTTCTCAAAACTCAAGGATGCGAGTCTGTACTCGCTTACTGTTCCTTCTGCGCCTGCACATGATGTTCCTACTGCGCACCTTTTTCTGCACATCTTTCCTTTGCTTTTAAATGTCGCTTTCAAAGCAAAAAAAAAAAAAGAAAAAGTCACTTTAAATTAAATGTTGCTTTAAAAGAAAAAAAAAAGAAAAAAAGAAAAAATAATTTAAAATAACTTAAAAATAATTTAAAAAATCAAATTAAAAAAATAAAAATTATTTTAAAAAATAAAAATAAAAACACATTTTAAAAACAAAAAAATATATATTACTATATTTATTCTTCTTTTTATTTCCACTTTTATTTTTTTATTCTTTTAGGTTATCGCAGAAAAATGAATGTTAAATGTTCCAAATGCTGATATGTGTGTGAAAGAGCAAGTTTAAAGTCAACCAAAGTTTCACTGCAAACTTACAGCGAAGCAAAGTTTACTGCAAATACAATTATTACACAATAAATACAAAGTTAGTAAAACTTCAGCACAACGGTTCCCAGAAGTTGCTTGTACTCATAGAGAATTATCACATATTGTCTCTCAGCTTATTGCTTTGGATTTTACTTCTGTTTTGTTTCACTCTCAGGGCTGCAAGGAAGGCGGCATCGTTGCCTCGCAGCTAGAAGGCCACCAGTTCGTGTCCCGGTGAGGAAACCTGCGTGGAGTTTGCATGTTCTCCCAATGTGGGTTCTCTCTGGGTCCACTGCCTTCACCCTGAGTCAGCTGGGACGGACTCCAGCCCCCCTAGTGAGGATTAAGGTGTATAGATGATGGATGGATGGATGTTTCACTCTCACTGCTCGACTCTGTATCCGTTTCCTTTCCCCTGCTGCAGCTGTTTTCAGTGACTGCCCAGCAACAAACAGCAGACACACAAATTGCACTGACGGCAGGTGAGCAGAAGCCGGTTCTGTCGATCAGGACTTGGTGCAGACTAAACACGGAGCTAATAGGGAGGTAATTACCTGACTTAGATTCATCAGGTGGACACAAACACAACTCCAAATGAATGATAATAGTGTTGCTTCCTCTGAGTAACAGAAGCTGTGTGGTGTTGGTTTTTGTTTTATTCTCTGATCCGAAATGCATCAAGCAAAGGAATGCAGCAGAGCAGAGGAACCGAAGAAAGTCGACCGGATAAAATGAAGTAAAACGATGGTTTATGAGTCTGAAGGAGAACCACTTTTTTTCCCTTTGAATCTGTTTTTCTTTTGTCTTTATTCTTACGTTGTTACTCATCTTCTGTCCATCTTTTATCCTGTCTTTAGGATTAAAACATTATAAATAAGACCTTTTTTATGTAGCGCCTTTTAAAAACAGAGTTTAAGTGCTTTGACAGACAAGCCACCAAAAAAACAATAGAAAAAAAGGCTAGAGAAGCAAAAAGTAGAGAAATGGAATTAAAAGCGATGCAAAATACACAATTTCCTTCTAACAAACATCGATTTATACGAATAGAATAATACAAGTAGAAAAAGTGCAATATCACAAACTAAAAACATATAAATGTGAGTCGATAAAATGGGTTCCAAGAATAAGAAGCTGATTCCGTGAGCTGACTATCTGCACAAAAGACAAATACATATTAATCCGTCCATTATCCGTCCAGGTCTCCTGCCCTTCCTTGGTCTGTACAGCGGCTCCACCGTGACCTTGACCTTTCCTCTCACAGCTTTACTCAGCCATAATGTCACAGCAATAAATAGAGATTTGATCTGTTATTAAGGAGGAAAAAAAGCAGATGTGAAGGGCAAGAAAACTGAATCAACTTTGGATGGACAACACAAAGCATGAGGGAGACAGGAGTGGATCAAATTTATCGTTTTTAATGTGTTTTTCTTCAGTTGCATGAAAGGTTTTCAATTTTTTACCCTTTTTTTTTTTTTGCAGAGGAAGGAGCACAGAAAACTTACAGTAGGGAAAGGAAGGAAGGGGAGCAAGAGGAGGGGATGGATGTGAGGAAAACTGCTCCTTTCATTCCCCCCTGAAGGTAAATAAACCAGCATAACAAAGGGCAGCTCTTTCTGTGCACACAGACCTACTGACACACTCTCGGGCATCCCCGGAGCAGGGATTGGACGAGAAACAGAAAGAGAGAGAGAGCAAGAGAGAGATACGGAGAGAGAGAGAGCGCACAAGTCTTTCCCACCCCTCCACAGCTGCTGTACTACCAGCAGCAGCAGCGCTACTGGAGACGGATATGAGAGCAGGGCGGCGATGATGACCGGCCACTTGGACTCTTAGACCACCTCATACTGACTCAACAACCTCCCAAGTCCACTTTTTGGCACGCCCAGTCTACTTCCATTAACCACCGTGGATCTTGAATGGATTCTAGGCTCCAGATTGGACCCGGGATCCCGACACCGGACCCGACCGCCCGCGCACCCTGGAACATCAGCTCCATCAACCCGCACCGGCTCATGGAGCTGTCTCCGGTGGCTACAACTGTGAGTAACCAGCTCCAACTATTTCATTTCGTGTTTTTAAAAATTTCATTTTCTTGCTTGGGCAGCTTGTTTGGGTGAGCCCGGAGAGCTTATGCGCGCTGCAGCGATGCGTAACAGCCGCATCCAGAGCAGCCAAACGCACCACAGCTGGAAAAAAAAAGCAATAACAAGCACACAAACTCACAGATTTCTGGCTGTAATTGTGACTTGTCATTCCTCCAATGGATCATTCATAAAAATTTTGCAGAAGTCTCCCAGAGGGGAGGTGTGAATGAGAGATGTTGAGTGAATGAATGAATCACAGCATCCTCCTCTGCGCATCAGCGCTCCGTTCATTCAGCACCTGACCTGAATGAAGGCAGCGCACATCTCGTTTCCTCTGAAGGTGTGTTATTGTGGTTAGAAGAAAAAAAACAAAACAGCTGCTGTGGGTGTAGTTATGTGTCACTTGTGTGGTGGAAGCACTCCTTTGTGCCATCTGTGTGCGTCAAAATGAGCCATTCATTCATGGTTTTCCTTTACATCAGGCATATTAGTTATTATTAGGATAATCTGTAGTGAGTTCAGAGACATCATTTCCTGTGAATAATGCTCCTGTGATATTTCTGTGTGACTTTTGTGATCCAGTCTTGCTCTAAACAGCATTGATCTGATTCTCTTTCACCGCAATTTGTGCCTTAACAACCTCAGATGAGCCCCTTAATTGTCCAATTTGTGTCCTAATCTTAGCTGATCTCAGTCTGCAGCTCAGTTCAGGTCCTTATTTCCCCTCAAGAGGAAATTCTGTTTGCAGCATAAACACATAAAACAGCTGGGTTGTCTTCCAGGAGTGATTTGGATTGTTTGCTTCTAATTTTTTAATTAAAGGCATGTGATCATCCGTCAGCCGCATCCTTCTGCTGCCTCATTGTTCACTCCTGGAGGACTATTTTGTGCGGTTAATATTTGTGTTGCCAGGTCTCAGGGATAAATCCGACTCCATCTCTCTCTCTGTCTCCCTCTGTGTCTGAGAGTGGGATTAGTTTACCCACAGCCTTCAGGGAAATCTCTTTACACAGATGTGCAGTGGTGTGTTCATCTCAGTACTGTACAATCCAAAGCATGAAAAAAAAAGAAAAGAAAATACTTTAACTTTGCCCCGCAGGAGCCCAGAGACGACTTAAATCAGAGCGATTCCAGGGAGAAACAGCTGTTTTAAAGACATACTGAAAACCACATGGGTGCAGCGCTACGGTAAACGTGGATCAACAAGTGTGAACGGTTCAGTTTGAATTTGGACTTTGAAGCTCAGACCTGCAGGCTTCAGTCACTGTAGCTTTTGTGGTCTGGCGCTGGTGGTGGGAGAGCTGGGAAAACTGATACTGGAACGGTGCCGGAGGGCAGCTTCTGCAGAGACAGATGGGATCTTACACTCAGGAATAAGTGTGGCTTTCATTTAAGAACTCTCGAGGTTTTCTGTCTCTCTCCATATTCCTCATATCACTGTTTGTTGGCTTTTCCCCTCCCTTCAAAATCAAATCTGTAATCTCTGCTCAACTGTAAAAATATGGGTCCAATTTGGAAATCATGTGTCTGTGAGTGGTGGTGTGATTTAAAAGGAGAAAGTGAGATAATGTGTGTCAGTGGGTGGCCCTGTGGGATGTTGTGGGAGTCTTTTCCATATGAAGTTGCAGACAAGGATCCCTGTGATAGGCTGATTGGAGGCTTGTTGGTGAGGTGCAGCAGATTCAGCGAGCAGATAATCAGCTGTGCAGCTACTGCAGCATTCATCAGCGCTGCTTAGTGCCCGAACAACTGAGGAAAATGGGCCATTAGCATCCAGAGAGACAGAATACTGGGTAGCAGTGGCTGATCGCTCGTCTAAATTAGCATTCAGCGGATGCAAAAGTGACGGAAACATGACTGACGTCGAGCTGAAATAGTTGTGAAAAGACGTCATCTAAAATTAATTAAACAAGAATGACATTTTCAGTCATTCAGTCTGCCGTTAATTTGTCTTTCGTGATGTTCACCTTTTGTTCCTGGAAGCAGCTCGTTTAGATTTATACCGTGAGCTAAAGCAGCTATAACTGAAATTAACAGAAGAGTGTTCATGCAAAATGTTTAATAAATCGCATAAATTCTCAAAATGATGTTTAGTGCAACGATCGTTGATGCATCACATCAGAAGGAGCTTTTAATTCCATATAATTAAAAAAAAATGACATTGACACCTGAATGTGCAGCATCAACGCATCCAAACCTGTGTGCTATAGGTAGTTTGTACATTTAAAAAAAAAAGTAAATCTCTTTTCTTCAAGGACGTGTGTTTGAATAATCCAGTATCTGAATTTCTACACAATATCAACAGCAATCATCTGTTTTCTTGTCATTTTTCGTCTTATCTTATTTACTATTTCCTCACTCCTTAACCATATGATTCAACACCTATCGTTTAAAAATGCTTGTAAAATTTCTGTTAAACCGCCGTAATAGATGGCGCCAAGACAGAAGAACCACCTGAGCAGCTCTTATCCTTCATCGGTGGTGTTTAAATAAACCGTCTAGTTGCTAGAATCTAATAGCTGCCTTCCAGACAATCAGTCGTTTCTGTAATTACGTGATGATACCGAATCATCTCGTTTACTCTTATTTACAGAATATGGGAGATAAATCTCTCATTTACTGTCACAGCTCAGTCTCTGGCTCTCTGAGGCGGTTTGATATGTGCGTGACTACAGATAATGAAGACTTGTTTCTGATGAGAATGTGCTTCTCCGCCATGAAGGAACACTGATTACAATAATAGTGTCAGCAGAGGTAGTTTTTATTTAGAGGAAACCCCCCTCGGCCATATTTATTTAATTAGTCGCGGCTGGTCCGGAGTGATGCGGTTTTCTGCGTTTTGAAGATGTGGCCTAAAAAACCGAAGTCGTCGTTCACTCACATACGAAGGGTCGCATGGCTGCTGATGTGAACATGCATGTTCAGATTTAATTACCACAATGGATGTTCCCTGGTCTTGCTTTGCGCTGTCTCGCACTATCTCCTCCACCCTTGATCTCCATTTTCTGTCTCACTCCATTTGTTTGTCTTTGCCTGTTCTATATCACCGTGCATTAGGCAGCCACCAGACCATTTACATTTATATTACTTGCTCTCCACTGATGAGGGAAAAAAAAAAAGCCCAGAAACGTCGGCACCCCGGCTTCAGTACGTGCTCCCAGACACAAAGTGAAGCGCTGCGTTACCACCCACTATTAGCATCTTTAAAACCCCACATGCCACGCCGCCCAACCCGCCTTTCCTCCTTCCTCCCTCCTCCTCCGTGTGATCGGCATTAATCCGGTCCTGAGTTGCTCGACACTGGGAGACGTGCGACATCAGAGGGAGCAGGAGGAAGTGAATCGGGAGGTTTAGTGAGCGGAGGGACGACGACGTGAGGAAAGGAATTAATGAGGGCTGGGAATAAGTAGTGATAGTGGAGGAGGAGGAGGAGGGAAAAAAGAGGAGAAATTTAGCAGAACTTGGAGGTGATCCACCACATCACTGATGGCAGAGTCATCTAAGTGTGTTTACATTCCACACACTCATATGGAGGCCGCGAGCCACATCTGCAACTGGACCTTTTCACTCATTACATAACCGCTCCATCACTTTCCATAGTAGTATTAAAACGCCCTCAATATCAGCACTTGTGACTCTGCAAAAAAAAAAGTAGGTCTTGCTGCAACAGATGTGGGACAAACTTTGCACACATGCGTAAATGCAGCATCCAGGATTAATGAAAGGAGATGCGTGTGTGTTCCAGTTGAAGCAGCAGAGGAAGCTTTAGCCCAGCAGAGTAAAGTCCTAGTAGCCGGCGATATATATAAAAAGAGACACGGCGAGAGTGGAAGCGTCGGAGGGAGTGTGTAAGAATTTCTGATATGAATTCTGAAGGGGAGCTGTGTGCTCTCAGGTGCAGCATCCTCTCAGAAGAAATATGCTGCTGTCAAATGAAAACCTTTTCATTGTCATAAAAAAAAAAAATCTGCTTTTATGGTTTAAGAAAAAAAACAAAAAAAACAACCCTGATTTCTTTAAAGCTGTTTTTTTTTTGTACTAAAGTGCAGCGGTGGAATGTAATTATGTAAGCTGAGGTATTGCATTTTTCTGGAATATGTCATTTTTATGCTGCTTTCTTCTCAGCTCAGTGAGATGCATTTAGAATTAGCCCGACTTCCATGAACTACAAGAATTAAATTGCCACGTGAAGGCAGGAATTCTGCCCTTTGGAAGAACTGAAGCTTCTTTTTGTAAATCTTTTTGGGGATATCCAATCTGCATTTTTACAATTTTCCTTCACTCTCAGCTGTTTCCAAACAAAATGCTCTAAAGCTGGCAACGAAAAGTGGTTAATGGAGCCAAAATATACTAAAACTCCACCACATTTTAACATAAAACATTAAAAGGTGGCAGCGATGTGATCCACCAAGTGGCCAAAAAAAAAGGAAAAAGAAGTCAGATATTAAGCGCAAGTTATTTTTTTGGCCTTTATTTGATGGTGCAGTGAGAGAGAGAGAGACAGGAAAGTGGGGCAGAAGAATCTGTGGAAAAGTGCCATGAGCGGGATTCAAACCCACGACCTCCACATCGGGGACTGTAGCCCCTACACATGGGACGCCAGCTCAACCAGCGGCGCCCGCAAGTGACCTTTCTAATGGACCATTCTTCTTTCTTCTTTGACTCTTCTTCTTCTTCTTTGAATCAAGAATATTTCCTCCACCACTGGTAGCTACTCTGGCAAATCTTCCCCTGAAGAAAAGAGGAAAAATGCAGCGTTTCTACTTTTGTCAATCGAGGACTTTCTTTTTCACAGAGAGGTCATTGACCGCCAAGGAAAGCCTTCAACATGTCTGCAGCCTATAAACCATCAAACAGAAAAAAAAAATACAGAAGTACAACATTTCTACCTGTCTAGAGTTCAGCTGTTTTTTCTGTTTCTTTCCTACTTTTTGCACTGGGTGTTCCCAATTATTCTTGCACTGGGTGTACACTTTTTCTGGAGCTGTTGTAACAGTGAACTTTCCCCACTGTGGGATCAATAAAGTTATCTTTTAAAATGATTCAACCACACCAGAATGTGACTTGTTGGATTTTGTATTTGACCGTTTTGGCTGGAAATGACACAAACAAGTGATAAAAGACTATGAGTTGGAAAACGCTGAATTCTAGTGAACTGTTTTTACCTTTTTACCTAAAGTTCCTCACCCAAAACTACTCACAAAACTTAAAAATGTCACCAGCTCTTGAGAAAATACAACATCTATACCATCTCAAGGTATCCGAGCAAGTTTTCTAAATCTACTAGACTACGAGTTGAGAATAGCTGATGCAGCAGTTCTCTTGGGACTTATTAGTCAACCTCAAATCATTTCTAAAACTAAAGAGCTTAGTGGGGTTCATCACTGAGACGGATTGCAGATTGTGAGAAGAGAGGAAAAGGCAATAAAGCTGCATCCGCCTGCTTCCAAGCGCCAGTGACCGCACGGTACACACAACACAATCAAAAAGCACAAGGAGTTCCTCACTGTGAAAAACCTCCAAGGGCGTGGTGGGAGGACGGAGTGATCCCTGCTTTGGCAAGAAAAGAAGTCAAGAAGAAACCAAAGATTGCCATCGGGAGAAATCTTAGCAGTTGCGATACCGACCTCTCGAAGGCAGATTCTTCAGCAGACAGTGAACAAAGCTGGTCTTTATTGAAGCCGAACAAAGAGGACTCATTTTCCCCCCAAGACGGGCACACAAAAGCTCACCTGGACAAACGCTTTTGGTGGTCGGTTCTGAGGTGGGGTTAGATGAAAGTGGAGTTGTTTGGACACACGGGGATGCGGGTTTTCTTTTTGTAAAGGAAAGGAGAAACATCCAACCCCGAGAACGCCATCCCCACAGTCAAACATGACGGTGGGATCGTGATGCGTAGGAGGTGTTTCCAACCGACGGACAAGCTCGTCAGAGCAAATGGCGTTGAGACATGAAGACGCGGCCTTGGGCAGCACTTCCAACATAGACATGGATCTGAAACATGCAGTCAAAGTGGTCAAGAAATAGTTAAATAAACCAACATTTCAGAGAGGCCCTGCTCAGGTCCGGATCCCATCGAGAATTTTTTAGAGGAAAATGAAGACCAGAGGGATCGCAAGACAGCCTTCCAACTTTAAACATCTGGACACCTTATCATTAACGTCTCTATCTTACCATCTTTGATCGCTTGTTTATGTCAGCTTTAGCCAGAAGACACCTCTACGATTCCCTATAAATCAGAACTGTTCGTGGGTTTGCCCCAAGTTGTTTAAATTCTGATCTCAGATGAACACATAGTTCTCAAAAAAGTAAATGTACCTGCGCTTGAGCAACTTGCCAGTACTCCAAAAGGGAACAGAGGTCAGTGAATGCAACACTTTAATATCCAAAAACAACTGTGGTGTTGCTTATATCTACTGCTACTGCTCGGTGGTTGAACTCTGCTCGTCGTTCTACTCATTCAGCTGTGTCAATGTGACTTTTCAAGCGCTGTCAATTACTCGTATGTAACCTAATGTACCTTGTGGAGTTACTACAATTAGCTACTGAGGCAGAAAACCCGGACAGATGCTTTCTCTGTTCAGAGGAGGTTCCTGCGCTGTGTGTCATGCAGGTTAAAGTCACCGATTATAGCAAATTTCATTGTTTATTAATATTTAAATAAAATGTTTTTGTAGAGTTCATTCAGAGTGGACTTCACACAAAGCGGATTTTCTCTCAGCCCGAGGCTTTATCTTATACCAGGGGATACATTTAATTACAACAGTTGAGTGTGTGCGCACCAAATGATAGCCACATCCCGAGGCAGGCGAGTCCTGAACAGTTTTATTGCTTAAAATGTCAGCCGCAGCCACTGTTTACGATAAGATTTGCTTTTTTTCCCCATTCGCTAAGAGCCTCTATTTCCTTTAATTATCCCAGAATTATCCGATAATAATAATAATAATGATAATTTATTTGTCTCTTTCTTTTCGGATTCTCCATTTTCCTTGGTGAAATGATCCTCTGTACTTTCCCAGACCGATGATTTTCTTCAGTGTAATTTTCTCTCCACAGCAATCACATGCTCAGCATTATTTCTCAATTACATTTCTGTCCTATTGTGATTTTATAACCACTAATTAACCCGTTCCCTCCTCTTTTCCTGCTGTTTTAGGGTCCTGTGGTTCCGGACCACATATTTCCGACGGTAGACGTCCCGGACCACGCTCACTACACCATCGGCGTCGTCATCCTGGCCGTGGGAATCACAGGCATGCTGGGAAACTTCCTGGTCATATATGCTTTCTGCAGGTATTCTTTTTTTACTGATTCTTCCAATTTTAAACAGCTTTCCTTAAATAAACCTGTGCAGCACATCCCTTTCTTTCTGCATAGACCTGTGATAAAAACATATATACTGTATGTGTTAATGATTTATTCATAATCTAATATTTATGACGTTTCAACAGCTACTCGTGTGTGTGTGTGTTTGTGTGCAGGAGCCGCAGCCTCCGGACGCCGTCCAACATTTTTATTATTAATCTGGCATTCACGGACTTCTTCATGTGTCTCACCCAGACGCCCATCTTCTTCATCACCAGCATGCACAAGCAGTGGATCTTTGGGAAGAAAGGTAACGCGTGCACATACAGAACAGAACATTTTAACTTTAGTATGCGACATTGCACACTTCTGAACTCCTCAGAGTTAACAGCGTCTAAGGAAGCAACAGGCTAAAGACAGATTTATGGTATTTTCTATATATCTAGCTGCTCTTTTACATGTGTAGCGCACACTTTGGGATCCACAGGGATGTGTATTGTTAACCAAGCCTTTGGAGTGTGACAGCTCAATAAAGATTCTGTCCACACACGCAGACAAACCTGCCGTCCTCCATCATCCCTGCCCGCCACAATGGAAAAAACAGCACCACAGGCTCGGTGTGCGGAGTCCAAACTCCATCGATCACTAGGAGCGAGCAGGAATGCATGTTGATCGTGTGTTTTACACGAGTGCATTGGGAGGAGGCGGGCGGCGTGGAGCGGCGTGTTATACATCAGCCTGTTGGGAGCAGACATGGAGAGGCGGTAAAAGAGGCTCCACACTCCACTGATCAAACACTGATAGTCGGAGCGCTGTGTTTTCCTACAGGAGTTCTCGTGACCTTGATAAAGACAGCCAATCGCTGTCAGATCTATAGCTCAAGTCTCTGTGGTGGTTACAGCAGGAGGATATTCGCTTTTCTTTTTTTTTTCTCCCCTGACCGACACCAACCAACTCTCCTTTTCAAAGGCACAGAGCGATGCGGTTAGTAATAGAGGTCAAAAAATAAAGTAGGTAGATGAGAATCACGAAGCAAAAAAAACCACCAGCAGAGCCCTGCCCTTTTATTTGTGCTTATCTCTGCTTGTTTACCAAATTTCAAAGCTATAAAGACTCCCTGAGCGCTGTTTAATGACGGGCTTTTCAATAACAGCGGGGCTCTTGAGGTTGTGCGGAGGTAAGCCGGACGATCTGGACAGTTTGTTGAAGTAGGAGCTCTCCCAAAAGGATAAGCTGCAGAGATCGTGATCATTTTCTGTGAAATGTCAACAAATGCAAAATAACCTTAATGTGATGCTTCAGAGCACTGTGGAGGAAAAGGAGTCAGACCATGTCAGCTGAAGAATGGTCTGGCTGCACCTCTGCTATCGGAGGAAAAAAGGCTCCGGCTTGTTTCTTTAAACAAGCCACAGTCGTATGAGGTGGTGCTGAGCCATAGACTGTATAAAAGATGGACGTAGCAACCGGCCCTGAAAAATGAAGCCAACCCGGAAGTGTCAAAAACCTGCAATATCACTACGTCCACTAGTCCTGGCTCCAAAAAGCCCTGGATCCCATAGACTGGAATTGGAAAAGAAGTGATCAAAGATCAAAAATACTGCATTCCTGCAGCTCAGGATTTTGTTCTTATTAGTTTTCATGGTCAAATCCAGAGATCAGGTGGCCGATCTGAAAATAAATCAATACTGAATTTTTTAATAATCATCCACATTTTGCGGAGCAAGTTGCGTGGCTGGCTTGATTGACAGTCGGCAGAAGGTGGTAAATGTGGGCGGGCAGAGAGGGCCCGCCTCTCAATCCGTCTGACCAATCACTGCTCCTATGGCTCCGCCCCCCTCTGACGATTTTTGCGTCACTGGCTCCAAAAATCCAAGATGTCAACCAGGAAGTAGCAAAACCCTGGCTTCATTTTCTCAGTGCAGAAACCAACGGGTGACGTCACGGTAGCTACGTCCATCTTTTATACAGTCTATGTGCTGAGCCCAGGATGCAGCGATGGTGTCCCCTCAGAACTGTAACCGGGGGATTGTTTTTGTGGGAAAATTGCATGCGCTGCTTTTGCAATTGCTAATTTGCCGGAAAAAATAAATAAAAATAGCCTTAATATGTGATCCAAACCTTCAGCAAAACTGTTGCTTCCCATAGCAAGAGGGTTTGGAAACCAGTAGCATGTAGGTCGGTGGCAGAAGGGAAAAAGAAAGCTGGTAGCAGAGTCAAACCCAGAGTCTACATCCAGTGAGTCAAGCAAACAAAGTTAACCCCAACACCCAGCTCTGACCCACATCCAGAATCTAATGACGTCAAACGCCACTTTACATAACTGATGGGTTTACAGGTTACCAAGAACATTTTGATTGGATAAAAATCCTGTTCAGAGTGCAGACTGTGCCAACTGTTGTCTTCTCATGTCTATAAACTACAAAAAAACGAGGGAAAATACTGTTTTTTGGAGCATTTAAATTCATAACAGAATACTAAATCCAACTAATGCATTCTCTACCAAGCTATAAAATAAACCAGAGAATCCTTGGTATGTTGGGTTTTCATGTGTGTTCTTGTAGAGTCAAACTTTAGCTCAAAATTAGCCAAATGAAGCGTCATAATTATCAATACTGTAGCATCTTAGCCTGAATATTAGTCAAGTTAGGTTCCAGTTCTCAGGGTCTGGGTCAGGTGTCTAATATGTACATTTTCCAGGTAAAATCACATCCTCATTATTAAGACTTTTTCTATTCTTTTCTACTGGAAAGTGTGTTGCTGCAGCAGTTTTTTTTTTTATGTGCCGTATAAAAAAACTTGCCTGCACTGGCGCGATAGCACACATGCCGCAAGTTGAGCTTCCACCCAAAGTAATTACCTCGCTAATTGTATATATATACATTTAGCATGCAAAAGTTGTATCGGTCATTTAAGCTGTGCGGCAGATAAAGTGGAGCTGACAACATGTAATTTAAATTGATGACGATTAGTTTGAAAAAGGCCAAACATGGCTCACATACAGGCTAATGAATCATGATTACACAGAGTTTTTTTAAATAGTATTTTCCATCGCTAATGGAATATAATGTGTATTTTTCTCCTCTAAATATGCATATGTTAAGCCCAAGGTGGGACACATTCAGGTATTAGAGTATTTTAGTAAAAGAGGAAGCAACAAGAATGAAACGAGCAGCACCTGAACTTCAAACACAGAAAAAAACATGGAAAATGTGGAATAAAGTGTTTGTTTCATATAATAATCTGAACAATGTGGCTCTCACTCTTCATGCCACATAAATCTGCTGCAGTCTTTCATCTCTTTCTTCTTTCTTCTCTTTCTTCTCTTTTAGATTTCCATTTTGTTTTGAACTTCTCACCTTTTCCATCTCAGACATTTTTTTTTTTTCAATATTTCTGCTTTTTAAAAATTATTTCTGGTATTTCTGTTCATTTTTAGCCGCATATTAAAATTCCACCAAAAAAAAAAAGCCCAACACCAACAAAACATGTGGCTGGAAGGACTCGTTATTGCTTCCTGGAAAGGATTTGCTCTTATTAACTCATTACAGGACCTCGTTAAGCAGTGCTTTATTCGTACTAAACAGCTCGGCTCGACGGTGCCCTGAACTTTGCTGTTACGCCCCAGGACTTTAAAATATCGTCGAACATCTGCTGCTCCTTTGGGAGTCGGTCTGGACTTCGTTAGCTTCAGTAACATAACAATGGCTGTCAAACACACACAGACATGCAGACGTGGTGATTTACGCTACAGTTAATTGCCCGAGCCGTGTTTGTTTGAGTTTCCACACGAATGTGACACACTTCAGATTTTGTCTCGTGTTTCGATTTGATGACTCGGTCGGACCGCGATCACGCAGCCCGGAGGAGCGGCGGCAGATAAAGAGACGACTGGTAGTTTGTGTTTTCTGTGTGTGTAGATGATTTGCACAAATGTATGTGTCAGAGTTCTCGCATGCATTGTGAATACTTATAGCAGGATGACTGACAATAGAGGAAAAGGCTTCCATAAGTCCATAATGGAAAGACAAGGGAGGCGTTAGGAATCGTGGCAGCTCCGTGGCAGCCTCTGAATGAAACCACGCTCAGTGTGTCGGCATGTAATCGGTTTACCACGACGCACTCAGTATGGATCAAACATCTAAACACAAGAGCTGTATTCTCTTCATAGTTTCACAGTTTCTTTGACCTTTCTCCTGTTTTCGCTCCCATTTGTCTCAAATTTTCCATCCACACATCTCTTATCTCCGCTGTTTCCATCCTGACGTCCAAACTCATCCTTCACCTCCAGCTCCTTGTTTTGTTTTTAACGCCTTAAAATACAGTAACAGTCTGGCTCTGGATCAAACTGTCTACAGAAGTCCACCTAGCCTTAGTTATTGTTAGTTATAATTAGAACCAAAGCATGAATCCCATCACGTGGTTCATGGAGATCATGAGTTGGTTGTTTTTTAGATTTAGTCTGTTTCCATTATTGCATTTTTATTTATTTTTTTACAGTAACTTACACTTACTTACATTATTCTTAGTGTTTCCAATCATTTTTGGGGGCATATGTTGGAAATTCCCAACAAACACATGACTAGAAATAGTGACAGTGCACAATATAACACATGATAGCTTTATTACTATGTGTTAAATACATAATGAACATCTAAACGCTAATAGCCCTCTTTCCTTAAACTTCTTCTTGCTTTTCCTTCCATTCTTCTCTAATTTTCCATCCACTAATCCTCCGTCTTGCCATTTACTAGTCTTGAAACCAAAGCATTAATTAGAAAACATCTCACAAACGTAAGAATTAATCAACCTTTCTCAATGCCTTTGAGGCTACGCTACAACATCGTCAACAACGTTTTCGGTATGTTTCAGTCACAAGTATTTAAAGTTCGACCAAACATACGTGTTGTAGGCTTTGTTAGCAGGCGAGTCAAGTAATCTGGATGATTTTTTATTTTTTTTTTAAAGAAATTGAAGTTCCTCCACAAGGTTGCGTATTTGTATGTTTTTTTTTCCCCGCTAAAATAAAATGAAATGGCTTAGATGTAACTATACCTGTGTTTCCTGCAGCTCAAGCACACTGGCTCACCTATGATTTTGCTCTACACTATGAAAAGTTGTAATATTGGCCCTATATGTTTGAGCCAGAGCTGCAAGGTGGCTCGGTGGTTAGCACCGTCGCCTCGCAGCTAGAAGGTCGCTGGTTCGCGTCCCAGTGAGGACACCCGGGATCTTTCTGTGTGGAGTCTCCATGTTCTCCCCGTGCAGCGTGGGTTCTCTCCGGGTTCTTCCTCCCACAGTCCAGAAACATGTTGAGGTTAATTGGTGATTCTAAATTGTCCGTAGGTGTGAATGTGAGTGTGCTTGGTTATCTGTCTCTAAGTGTAGCCCTGTGATAGACTGGTTACCTGTCCAGGTGAACCTGCCTTCACCCCTAGTGAGGATTAAGGTGTAGAGATGATGGATGGATGTTTGAGCCAGATTCTGTGTAAAAGTGGTGGAGGTCCCAGGTTAGTTTAGTTGCTTGAGTCTGTTACTTATGAAAACCTATCATTCTCAATTTTGTTTTTGAGTTTTCATATGTACATCGTAGTTTCAACGCGGATACGCTCGGCAATGCCCAGCCTTTTTTTTGCTCATGTTGCATATTCCAGCATATATATATTTCTAAAAAAACAACAACATATGGACACGTTAACAAGAGAAATTACTCGACTTTTACTGGAGGCCGTCCTTAATGTAATGTGTAGCAGATGTTCTCCAGTTTAACTGATATTAGCAACATACAGTAGGTCTTATATGGAAACACAGCACAAAGCCTCTCCGTGTACGAGTTTCAAAACACACCACGGTTAAAGTATTTATAGCTTTTGCAGGGAGCACTGCCTGAAAGTGTGTTTTTTTTCCCCTGTCCGCTATGCTCTGTAGCAACACCAGTAAACATATTTATCTGTCCTCACCGCTGCATCTTCCTCCCGCTCTCACCTGTCCTCCCTCAGGTTGCGAGCTGTACGCCTTCTGCGGAGCGCTGTTCGGTATCTGCAGCATGATGACACTGATGGTGATTGCAGTGGACCGCTACGTGGTGATCACCAGGCCTCTCGCCTCCCTCGGGGTGATGTCTCACAAGAAAGCTCTCAGCATCGTGGCCGTGGCCTGGGTCTACTCCATGGGCTGGAGCCTGCCTCCCTTCTTTGGCTGGAGTGAGTACACGTAGGCATGCGGAGACCTGGAAGTTGAGTCTTTATTTATCAGTGTGATCCCTCGGAGGGATTTGGTTTGCCGAGCTCTGTCTTAGCACTTCTATCTCACCGTTCTCTACACGTAGAATTCCTGGTGGAACGTGCGCTGCTGTGTCAGTTAGATCTTGTGTTTCCTTTCTGTCAACATTAAATTACATTTCATGCAAAATCAGATATCAGGCTCGCTTCATGCTTTTCCCGTAGCTGACATTACAACAGCCCAACAATGTTTGACGAGGGTGTGGAGCCTCGTACGAGCTTGTGGTGTTTCCTTTCCTGCATGCGTTCCCAAATGGGATTCTATGTTGGTGTTAGCGAGTCAGCATCTGTTAGGTTAGTTTTCTGTTTCTTCCACAACACATAATTCATACTGAGCTGCGGCAACTCAGGAAGCACAACTCTTCATCCTTAAAGCCTCAAGCACTTCAGCTGCGAGATGCCCGTCCAGAAACGATGGGAGAACCGATAAGCACTGTCACAGGAATTAATCGTGCTATAGGGGCGGGAAATGCTTCATAATTTAGAGACTCATGCGTGCTGTCAAGTTGCAGGTTGTGACAATCAAAGGAAAGTACTGCTAACAACAGCAAACTACAACCACTAACCCAGAGGTACCACCAAGACTAGCACACCTACATCAGTCAAGCTGTATGCAGATGGTTTCCTTGCAGAAATTTTGCTACCATCATTTTCCAAAAAAATGCATGAATTAATCTGCCTTTTTTCTGTGAGTCATATCCAGCCATGGGACTTCTATGCCTGCATAATACACTGCATTCTTGCACACAAATAATTACAGCGTTGTGTTGAGTAATTATACTGCGGATTTTCCACTCACACATCTCTCATGAAAGGGTTTTTTTTTTTCAACTTCCATCCCCACTGAATAAACAGATTGAATCACCGTGTAGGAAGGTCAATCATTATTGCACATTTAGTCATACAGAAATACTCACAGGCGAATACGTTGGACACAGCTCGTGTTGGATTCCTGCATCCAGTCTCTCGCAGTGGCTGTTTTCCTCTTTTAAAAAAAATAAAAAACCCTCTTGGGGTTCGGTGGCCCCACTGACACAACAACTTAACACAACATGCAGGCTAATAAAAGTGACTGACGGCTTCCTTGTGCATCTGAAGAGAACGTGAGATGGTGTTTTTCAGAGCTGTATGTATGTTCGGCAGTCATTATGTGCATACGTGTGGTTGGCGGTATTCTAATGTGTAAGTGAACGCGCTGTAGTGTGTCATGTTGTTTTGTTTGTATGGAATGAACATTGCCGTCCTATATAGAATAAGTCTGCGGTGTGCATACCAAACGCCACAAGAGAGAGCTTCCTCTTATGGATGTTGACACTTGGGTCCCATTGTGATGTGTAAATGTGTGAAGCCCGAGCCTGACACGTGAAGCTACTCATTAAAGTCTACAACATGCATGTTTATACCATCAATAGGCGCTTCATAGCGGCGCTTGATCTACGATGGCAAAGCCAGTCAGCTAGTTTGATGATCCATACACAGAATTTAAAGGATAGCTGCAGCCTCCGAGTCTAACAAGTGAAGCCAACACAGAGGTGACTTCATTCTTTCTAACAGCCAGCAGGGGGCAACGCCACTGATTGAGAATAGAAGAAAATGACCCGACTTCTGCCTTGATTTGTTACCTAAGTAAACCCATCCTCAATGGGTTTATGGTCTCAATTGGTAGTTTCAAGACATTTAAAGTATAACATGATGTTTATTTTGTAAATTATCACCCATTTTAGATTAAAAAGCAGGGTGTGCTTTAGGGAGTGTAGAAGCCAATAATGTAAAAACGGCCGATAACGTAATAAATGTGCACTTTTTAAAATGTAATGGCCAATAACGTAATGAAAGTCCTGAACTGATAACATAATATCTTTTGGCCAATAATGTAATAAGTTATTACATTATTGGCCTGGTAAAAAAAAGTTCTTTGCAAATGTAATAACCAGTTAGCCGAAAGTTATTACGTTATCGGTTCAGGACTTTTTTTATCACATTGTTGGTCTATGACATTTTAAAAATGGCAAATTTATTACGTTATCGGCCGTTATTACGTTATTGGCTCCTACAGGGCGGGGCTACCTTGTAATTCACTGGTTTTTACTGTATCACTGTGTTCTCAAGTTCTTCAGTCAGATCACTACTTGCTTTATTTCCAAAGAGCCAGAATGGTGAAACTCAAAGCTTCACAATGGTCGTCCACTATTCAGGTGGTGTCGTCACGGTGGCTACATCCATCTTTTATATACAATCTACGTGTCCAACACTTTTGTGCTGAATAAAAATATATCAGCAACTTTTGGAGGCCAGGCCCTGAAATGTTTTATAGACATTGAAAGTTTTACTTTTTATTTCAGTCTTAGCCTTTTTGGTTATTGTTGGCAGCTTAGGATTCCCAAACTAGGCCCGGGCAATAAAATGGAAGTGATACGTACCGAGGACTAACACTTCATCAATAGGGGGTGATAGTTTCACTTACATGCACCAAATGCACCAAGTTTGCTCCCTCACTGGCTCATAAACAGCCTATCATATCCATTGATAATGGAGCTTTTTTGCTGTCTCTGTTGACCTCTGTGCAGGTCTTCTAAGGCATGCTAGTCTGGACGTGTCTCAAAATGAAGGTACAGCCAGCAGCCAGTTAGCTTAGCTTAGCATAAAGACTGAGGAAACAGTTGACCTGTCTCTGTCCAGGCTATAAAAAAAAAAATCACACTAGCTCTCTAAAGCTAACTAATTTAAATTTTATAGATTATTGCTGTCTGTCTAATAAGCACAACAATCAACATTTTAAAGGGATGGTTTTACTGTATGTGCAGGGTTGGTTTTTGCAGGATTCTGGTGACACTACTGTAAACCATGAAGCATCTTAATTTATCTGTTTCTGTACTACTTTGTTAAACACATACCTGTGATAGTGTCTTGAGCTTTAAAGGAGTCCGTAAGGAAAAAAAAAAAAAGTGTAAAGAATTGAAATGTAAGTAGTTCAAGGCTTTTCTGAAAAGCCAGGATGCTGCACAGGAATCATCAGACGTGACGGCGTGGGAAGCGACCACTTAAGGCTGTTTGTTCTCCCACAGGTGCCTACGTCCCGGAGGGCCTGATGACGTCTTGTTCCTGGGACTACATGACGTTCACCCCTTCCGTCCGCTCCTACACTATGCTGCTTTTCACCTTCGTCTTCTTCATCCCTCTCTCCATCATCATCGTCTGCTACTGCTGCATCTTCAGAGCCATACGACACACAACACGGTAGGCAAACGCACACACACATCGTTTTGCGGTTCGTCGCTCTCCTGCAGCCGTCCTCGGTCGTCCAACACCCTTGCAAATGATATAGACATGAGTGTCAGAGCGGCGTGTGTGTTGATGCAATGTCATGTTGATTAACAATGTGTCTGGGCTCCTCTATTGATTTCCACTAATGTTTCACTCAACCTGAATGCTGCTTGTTCAGCCATTGCTGACAATGTAGGTGAAGAGTACGATATATTAACACAGCTGTCAAAGATGGAATAACAAGCTTTCCAGTGGGGGGAAAGAAAACAACTTATCTTACAGTATAATTACTAATTATATTAAAAACAACAGCAGCTCTCATACCTGCGGTGTCTGTGCATGGCAGAGCGATAACAAAGATCAACTGTGAGGGGAACAACAGAGACTCAGCAAAGAGGTTCCATAAAATGAAGAGTGAATGGAAGATGGCCAAAATCGCACTCATCGTCATCCTGCTGTTTGTCATCTCCTGGGCCCCTTACTCCTGTGCAGCCCTCACTGCGTTTGCTGGGTAAGTGCATGTATATTTATGTGTGTGTACTATGTCAACAGCTGCTAAAAAAGACATTTTTGACACTCCAATGATGCCTAAAACTCTCCATTAGGACCAAAAACTGGCAAAGCGCCATATTTCATGTGAGTTCGTGTCATAAAAAAGCACTTCTGAGTTTAGTTTACGATTGAAGACGTAATTAAAGCCGCCCCAGCCAAAGGTCATTCATCCATCACCCCTTTTTTAAGCTGGGTGGGGCTGTAATGGCAGCTTTAGAACGTCTGGAAAATGGAAATTTTCTATAGGAGTAAACTCCAGGACTGGAGAATATCTGTAGAAAGCTTCAAAGCTCAACCTTGAAGCCTCTGGCTGCAGCGAGGAATTAATCTTGCATTTTTCAGCATTCTCTGGAGGCAATTTTGTGAGATTTGTAGTGAATGCATCAGTCCACCTAATTCACAAAAAACATCCTCTCGTGGTTTTTTTTTGGTCGTATCTAATCATGTAAATACGGTTGCCCTGGGTCTGAGCTATCCTGTCTGGGAAATAGAATTCTGTTTGTGCAGCTTGCAGCATTTAGAAGATAAAAATACATTAAAGCGACTGTCCTCTTCGAGCTTATATTATCCCCTGATCGCATGTCTGATTTAATGTAAAAAGGATCCCTCGTATTTACAAATCAACGGAGGATGTCACCTTAGCCCACTGTTCGGTCTCTGTTCTGTCTTTGTTTTGGGTTTGCATCCCAGACATTTGCTGTTTCGGCTCACTCTCACCACCATCACTGCGTTGTTTACGGCATCAGGTGGCTGTTTTTACTTTAAAAATGTGCAAAAAACCCACTTTATATGCTACCTGCTCAACACAAAACAGCAGAAAAGCACAGTGAGCTGCTACCTGTTGGACACAGTGGAGCCTCTGGAAACTGAAAACCAACATATTTTCCTCAGGAGCTGGTGGAGACCAAAAACGGAGCAAAAACAGAGCTCAGAGCGGACGTTTATTCAACACTGGCCTGTGCTGTGAAGCAGGATTTGAGGTTAGCGAGGTAACTTCAGGTTATGTTCCAGCCGACAGATCAACACGAATTAAAGACGCTGCGTACTGATCATTAAATTCTCTCGGATAATGGCCTCCCCATTTGTAGAAGATGGATGCTAAGAGGGTCTCCGAGAAGGCCTGAGAGAGCTGAGAGAGTTTGTAGAGCTGCGAGCAATTTCGAAATCACTTCCATCGTTCCGTAGGCGTTCGCATGCAGCGGCATAACCAGAAAACACAGACTGATTACCGCACTAAAGCCTTGGACTCGTTGACCTTATAAGATTTGCAGTAAGCCTACTTACTGGTTTGAATGATGTTTTAATATTTGTTCTTGACTTGCTCCCAGCACCGCCAGGGTTGCAGCTGAGAGAATAAGGCCAAAACTGTCTTATGTGCCATAACAATGAGGCTGAATGTGAGATTAGTGAATTCAACCTCCACATCACAATGGGAATATAGATTTTTTTTCGTCAGGCTACTTGGTTATTTATTTATTCTTTCAATAATTTGTCTTTTCTGTGAGTAGCATGTAAGGACTGCATCTGTAATTTCATTATACAAACTTGTGTCGCAAAAATGATAATTAAATTGCATCTTGCATAAGAAACCCACATCTACTCGTGCACAGCCGTAATTAGTCAGACTGTGCCCTTATATGAGGCAGTGCTGTTGATAAGCTTATTATCTTACATTCACAGTCTGCATGCTTCTCCTTGTTTCAGCTGCAGCATTTATTTGATATTTTTTCGAATCCTCGTGTTTGCTAAGGATTACAGTTTGTTCTTCTTGTGAGAAATATGTGCCTCTGTTGTTTTTGTTGGTTACAAGATAGTAAACACACTTGGTCGAGATCGTTGCTTCTTCCTGCACAAGAGAAATCGCCTTACAGGAGAACTGCAGGGTGAGGTCTGAAGCTCGGTGGACAGGATAATCCTAACGTAGCGTGAGGGAGTGCGTATGTGACTGGAGGTATCTGTCTGAAAAGAACTAAGATCGTTATTAGATCCTTGAAAAGAGAGGAAGGTGCATCCTGCAGCTGCCAGTCATCAGAAATACCTAAAGCAGGGAAGTAGAAGGTCACGGCATCTTCACTGCCGGGGACCTCGTGGCCTAAGAATGACCTCTTGAGCTAAAACATCGGGTTACACAGAGACACTACGGGTGTATGTATGCGTTCTTGCAAAACAACTTGCTATCAGGTTACATCGAGGCAATAAATTTCCACGACAGGTTGACGTACTGAGTTGATAACGAGCTTCGAGGGACCACTTAGTGAAACCAGATAACTAGAAGATATCCTGGATGTGTTGAACCTGAGTGGCAGCACAGGTCCAGAAACATGTCAGATAAATAAATGATAATGCTGCTGTTGGATGTGTAATTAGTCCATTAAAAGTAAAATATCAGCATTTCTTATTCACCTGCCTACGGAAGTCGAGAGCGGTCATGGCCTCACATTTTTTTAAACGGCATTTTCTCGAGATAACGAGATAATTATCCCGTTGACAGTTTCGGCTGTCACTTCAGCCTTCATCAGAAGTTGTCGGACTTCCTGGTGTGAGACAGCTGACCGGGAACTCCGACATGACGTGTCATGAGAACAGCTGACCGGGCACGACAACTTACAATGAAGCGCTCGTGTCCGATCTGGTCTGTCCTCCGGCCCCCCACTGGTGACTGAGGATGGAATCCCAGGTGTGTGGGACCTCCCACACACCTGGGATTCCATCCTGGACCAGGCACAAGCGGGCAAACACAAACACCAATTATCTCGTTATCTCGAGAAAACGGCGAAGAAAGAACAGTAGCGGAAAACGACCGGTCTCGGCTTCCCTACCTGCCAATGAATAGCAGGTACATGTTTTTTTATTCTAGAATCAGCGTCTTTGTTAATCTGAACGATTCACAGACCTTTCATTCATTCTGATTAAGCCTATTGGCAGCTTGGGGATCATTAAAATATGATTTCATTTGCATCCATCGTCACATTATTGTCGGTTTGCTGGTTAATTATAAGTGAAACAACCCAAATGTGCAAAACTAGCATTTTACGACACGGCGGTGTTCCATCCTTTATCCAAAAGCGAGCGCCGCTGTCAGGATATCAGACGATGCTAATTGTAAACTAATGGGCTGTAATTTACGGAGAGAGAGAAGACGTTTGATTTGACAGGATGAACAAAAAGAAACTGCAGACGGAATTCGTAATGACTTTATTGCTCGCTAGACCTTCTGCCGCAGCATAAATCAGCGCTGAGGATGTTTCCCATAAATGTCAAGTGCTTGTTTTGTACGATCTTTAAACAAGAACGTGAATCCAGCGTTCAGTACGAGTGCGATCTTGTGTCCCACTCGTGTGTCTCTCCGGTAATCCTGCATTATGGATTACCCGCACCGATGCCCTCGTCACGTTAATGTGTTTTTATTCTATCTGTATCTCATCTGTCTGTTTTTTTTTTGCAGGTACGCTGACTTGTTGACTCCTTACATGAACTCTGTTCCTGCTGTGATCGCCAAAGCGTCTGCCATCCACAACCCCATCATCTACGCCATCACACATCCCAAATACAGGTAGGACGTACATGCAAGAACTCATTAGCAGCAGCTTAAACAAATGGTGTTTGTTCTTGCTTTCACAGAACACTATAGCAATGCCAAAGCAGGTGTTATAGAAGGAGTCATATGTAATAATTCAGAGTGTTGTTGTCTATTATCTACTATTGTTGTCACAGTAGGGGAGGTTTGGGAGCCAAGTATAACGGTGACAGTGAAAAAAAAATCATTTCACAGTTTGAGAAAAGTTGAAGTTCCCCAGGAAAGTTCCCTGAGTTGTTCCTTTACTTTCTCCCGAGGCTCCAACCAGTGTCGCTGCCTCCGTGGAGATGGCAGTTATCTCCCCGAGCAAATATTGAATTCTATTTTGGTCTGAGAGTGAGTCAAATTTGCACTTTCTATATTTGTGGGCAGAACTTATTTTGAACGGGTTGCCAGGTTGTTCCAACCCTAAATTATTCATACCATCCTGGTTTATACTTGTTTTCTTTTTTACCAATAGTTTTCTCCTGGCTGGATGTTGACATAAGCAAGTGACAAAAGATGTAAGACGCAGATGTTAATGATGGTATTTATACCATATGTAAAATTATTCCTGTCTTTCTAAATGTTTACTGGTAAAACATTTATTTATAATTGCCAACAAGCTTCCTGAATGTCTCCACTGGGGTTTTGATGCACTCCTCTTCCTCCAAAACGTTGGTACTGTTTCCTGTCAACCATTTCTTCACCACTTTGGCTCCATTTTTTTAGATCTTTGTCTTGCTGGAGGGTCCAATGCTGCCCAAAGCCAAGTTTCCCAGCAGCCTGCCTGATGTTAGGTCTTAAACTCTTTTGTCATGATGCTGTTTGCTTTGACAAGGTTGCTGAAAAACATCACACTTGACCGCAGGGATGGTGTTCCTCAGGTTGTCCACGTGTCCCAGCTTTTTTCATCTCATCTGACCACAGAACTGATTACCAAAAGCTTTCATCATTGTCCAGGCGGGCTTTTGCGAAGGGCTCGGTTAGCATTTATGTGCTTGTCTTGAAGAATTGGAGTCCTCCTTGGTCAGTGTTCATGAAAACCGGCCTTGTTCAGCGTCTGCTCGAGTGTCCGCCTTGAGATGTTGGTACCAGAATTGCTCAGATTCATCACGATGGCGGTGATCCATGGAGGCTTTCTGTCTCTTAACCACCACCGCATTAACATTCTTGCCAGCGCACGGATCATTTTGTCTTCCTGTTCCTCCGTTTGGAACTCCTTGTGCTTTTCTATTATGCTTTGCATTGTAGCTACGTGCACTTCAAAACACTTATATATAGCTTATTGAGCCTTTCCCCGCCTGGTGAGCAGCCACAATGGCGAGCTTCCTCTCGGTGAGGGACCCTAATAGCAGCTCAGTAAGCTCTTTGGTTTCAGCCGTGATTTGCACTTTACCAGTAACTGACAAGAGCATCAGTTTGTAGCGGGCTGCAATGCTCGGTAGAAATCAGGGCCAATTACAATGGTGTAGAAGTTGGATTTTCTTAAAGAAATCCAACAATTTTAAAGGGTATAAATAAGTCTGGACTTAGCAAGTAGATGTCTCACCATCGTTTCTTTCTTGTTTATGCCATTTTCAGTTAAAGAAGAAAATCATATTGGTGAAATAAGAAGTCACTGGAAATGAAAATTTGGCCTTAACTGTATATTGGATTAAAGTCCTTTTCAGTTTGTGGTCATTTTACAACTGCTAAATAATCTTTTTTCCCAATCTTTTTTATAAAGTTGCTCAGCAGTCGATGTACTTTTCTTTGACTCTCGGCTGCACCGAGGCTGTTCAGATGAATGTGTCGGTTAATGACCGTCCTGCTGCACATGCATACGCCACACGTTTTGATTTATACTTCAGCGGCTGATTTCACCCATTTATAGCATCACCACTCCACCGTTCAGGCCTGTTTTTCATGATCAGGTTGTATTATGCTTTAATTCTTTTCCCCCCCTGTAACAACATATACGTATATTCTTCCATTCACTGCGTTAGTGTCGGGTGAAGGAGGGAATAATTGCAATTTTCCTGCTTGTTTCATTCAACGTGGAGAAGCCACCCACGGTGAGCGGAGGCTTCCCGGCACATGTCCAAACAGATACTCGAACAACACGAGGAAAATGAGCTTTATCAGTCATTTATTAAACAAAAAACATGAGTAGATGCATTATTGTTTTATGGGTATCAGAAGCTAGTGAGCAGACATATCTTCTTGTAGATGTTTTGCATCAGTGCTTTCTGTCATTTTACAAGATTCTTAGAGGTTTTCTTAAACGCACCACCCATTTCTAATCACCCCACAACACTTCAATTGAGATTCAGATCTGTGCTTTGACCGGGCCACTCCATAACCCTTCCTAATTGGTAACCTTCAGTAACTCCGTAATTCCTCGGTGGATTTTGCGAGTGTGCTTCGGATTATTTTCCTGCTGAAAAATTCCAGTTCAGAGTCAACTTTCAGACGGATGATCACATTATCTCGAAGCGCTCTTTCATACGATGCAGACTTCAGCAGTGACCCCGAGGCAGCGGAGCAACCTCCAACCATATCATGTGTAGTAATGCAGTGGAAACGCCATCATGCTTCCAAGCTGGTGCGAGCTTCTCCTGCTCCAAACATGTCAGCTCCTACAGATTTGTCCGTCCACAGCGCATTGTTCTGTACGTTCGTCTAATGTTCTTTTTGGATAGCGATGGCTTTTTTTCCTGGCACGCCTCCCATGCAGATCAAATTTGTGCGATCTCTTTGACACCAACAGCTGCGAGTTACCTTCAGACCCTGTAATACGATGTTTGGAGACTCTTTTTTTCCCCTCCACATCAGACAGTCTGCTCTTGGGCTGAATTCACAGGAACAACCAGTCTTAGACAAACTGACAGCTGTTTGAAATTTACTTCACTTCTACACGGTTTTTCTTACACTGGAGTGATTTCTCTCAGGTGCTTTATCTTTTTTAAATCCACAACCTTTTTACCGAAAGCCTCGGAAAGCTCTTTAGATCTCGGCGTGATGACGCCACACGGTTCAACAGCAAAACAGAACCCCAGACCGTACAGATGTCAGAGTTTTAAATAAGACAGACTCCACCTGAGACTACCGAAGGATTTTATAAACACTCATCTGGAGGTTTGGGTTCTTATTTTGTGAATGTGGAGGTGTCATAAAAGTATTTTTCCATGTGATTGATCTTTTATTTTTGTATTTTAATAATGAAAATGACAACAACATTTAAATTTTGTGGACTAATTCTTATTCAGCTCAGCTCTCTGCAGCGTCTAAAACTTGCTGACAGCTCTTGCTTTGTTTTTGTTGACAAATTATTTAAGCCTCAATTCAGCACGAAAATCTTTCTATTAAGTGAAAAGAACAATGGCTCTGTTAGTGTANTACTGTCAGTGGAATATATAGGCATCAAAATTTTACATTAACTTACCAAAAGTACAGATACTTATCATGAGGAATAGCCGATTTCAAGGATTCAAGGAACTTTATTTGTAATGTCAGTTCACATTCACATGTTTGTGGTACGAAATTTGTACTCAGGTCCTGTTTTTGTTTTTTGTTTTTAAAGAAAAATCCTAACAAATAATAAGTACAATTAAACAATAGCAAAATGTAAGTAAAATCTAACTTTAATTTGTTAATACATGTATCGTTGTTAAAGAATTACTGGATTAGAATTATTGATTCATTAATAAATTCATTTTAATATCAGAGGTGGTGAAAATGGAACTAATTATAAGAACTTTGTCCCCCAGGAACACTAAAGTCACGTTAGCTTGCCTCATTTTAACCCTCTGAACCCCAAGATTAACCGGCAAAAAAAATGTTATCATTTAAAAAAAAAATAATTGCCAAAATTTCATCATTTGCCATCACCAGAAATTATAACAACTGAACGAATAATTCAATTTTTTGACTTTTCTTGAACTGCTCCTCTGTGATGTGACGGCAAAACTTCACCAAACCTGAACTTTAAATCGTGACATTTTATTGAAATGACTTTATTCTGTTTATCTCATTTAAAAATTTGCTAAAAAAATTAAAATAAAAAAGTTTGCACCAGATTCTGTAAAAAATGAAAATAAGCCATAAGTGACTCAGCTGCAACCAAGATTCATGTGAAAAAAAAACCCCTGAAAATCAACATTTGTTTGTTCATTTTCTATGATTAATGCCATTGTAGCAGTGCTATAATGCAAAATAAGACATTTCTGAGTTCTCTTTGCTTCTGGTCATGATGTTTCCTTAGACGTTCAAGACTTTATGTTGCAGTGAGTTAAAAGGTGACAGGAGCAAAAATGCCCAGAAACCTGTTGGGGCAAAGTAAGGGTTAACCTACCATAGAATAAAACATCACAATTTAGCAGCTGATTACATTTTTCAGTGATTAATCTGAATCAGCGAAGTACAATCATGACTTGGTAATCTGACCCTTAACAATCCTAAACCTTGCTATCCAACAGTTTTTTAGGAAAAACGAACGAAACCCATTAAAAACAGCCTTAACATAACGACAGCCTTGGATTCTGACTCCGACATGACGTTTTATGTCACCAATCAGGATGACGGCGTATTATCTGACTGAACAATCCCACAGCCTTGCTATCCGACATAAAAGAAGGTTTTACATTCAGTGTCGGATCATCGAGTCACGGCTGTAACTAGAAACTAAAATTATTGCATAAAGTCGTAGAACAGTGGAATAAGAGCTGCAATATTTGCCTCTGAATTGAGATAACAATAGTAGTGAATTATTATTCTAAATCTAAAAATACTGACAATAAAATAGCAAAAGAGTGAAAATACTGAAGTGAAGTAGAACTGCCTCCAAAGCATTTCAGAAAATGTTCAGAAAACTATAAATCTAGTCACTAGATTCTAGCTGAATCTGTGAACCAGCTGGCTGACGGGACTTTTCTTTGTTTTCTTCCTCATATTTTTTTAGAATAACTATAAACATCTAGTGTTTTCAGAATCCCTGTGCACTCTGCTGCATCCTCATTAAAAGTGGACATTAGTCAAACTCTGCTCGGCATCCAGATGTTCGTTAATAAAATCGATTTGATTATGAATCCAAACGCTTCCCTCCCTCAGGTCAGCGATCAGCAAGTACATTCCCTACCTCGGGGTGCTGCTGTGCATCACCGGCAGAGACCGCTTCAGCAGCAGCAGCTTCCAGTCGACCCGCCGATCGACCCTCACCAGCCAGTCGGAGTGCAAAGGCCACAGCAAGCCCCGCAACTCCTCGCAGTCCGAGAGCGAATCAGTGAGTGTCCCTCATGTCTAGTCTGGTATGTGTCTGTCTTACGCTCCGTTCGACAAACACCTCTGGATTACCGAGTTGTTGATTTCCGCCTGGCGTGTCGGGGGGTTTGTCTCAGGCCCACTTCTCGGACACGGAGGAGGACTGCTCGTCCCAAACGCCCGTCAGCCGTCAGGTGTCCGGCGACGCCAAACAGGTGCGCCACAGCAGCCAGAGGTCAAAGGTCAGAGGTCACGTCGCGGGAGAGTTCGAGCGAGCCGCCGCCCACAACTCCACCGACCCGGCCGTGTGCCACCTTTCTCATATCACTGTGAGTACAAAGATCAGATGTTTCCCAGCGTACTGTTAATTACATACTTTAATATGTACTCATGCTTTAACCCTCTGAACCCCAAAACACACCAGGAGGTCTGAAAGTCATGTGACTAATAAAAACACGTAGAATTGTTGGATTTTCAACTTAAGTTAATCGTCTTTGAAAAGCTGTAATGAAAACGATCCAAATTTAGGCTTAAAATTGTGAGATTTAATCAAAGTCGCCATATTGTGCATGCTCCATTTAAAAACAAACCATTTGTTTTAGCCAGATTCTGTAAAAAACAAAAAATTCTGGGCTCCTCGGCGCAACTACGAAGCCATGACTGACTCTGCTGTGACCAACAGGCAAATTACAAAAATTCTGTGAGTTTTCATTTGAACTGCAGCATGAAACAAATCAGAGAAATGAAGCTTTATCGCTAAAATGAAATGAAATGAAAAATACTTTATTTATCCCAGAAGGGAAATTCAATTGTCTCTATTGGCTGAGAGGGGGGAGGGCCCGCATGCTATTGGTCGGCTGCAGCTAAAGCGGCCTGACTTTTAGCAGGGGCTTCTGGGAAATTAATACATGAAAATAAAATAAAATAAATGCAGCATGGCTCAGAAGTGGTGTACAGAGCAGCAACCTGTTGGAAGATGCATTCAGCATGGTGAAACAGACACTCACGTTTTCTTTTTTACCGGTTAGACACAGTATGACACTATCACTGCGTCATACTGCACAAAAGACATTTCTGAGTTCCCTCTACGTCCGGCCACAGTCGTGCTGCTTCTAAAGAGGTGCAGGACTTTATGTTGCAGTGAAAAGCGAGGCCTCGCTGAGTAAAAATGTGACAACGCTTTGGGGTTCGGAGGGTTAAACACTTGAACTGTGCAATTTGAAAGTCACCCAGTTCTAACTTCATTACTCTAACTGTCAGATAGGTGTTGTCAGACTACAATGAAAGTTCAATTGCAGTAGTTTTATGGTGTTTCTGACGGGGTTTTTTTTGCTGGTTGTGTCATAGCTGATCTAAATCCTCCTCCTTTAAATCCGAGACGTGAGCTCATGTTGTTTTGGAGTCCTGTTAAAGCCAACAGACGTCATGTTTATGTTTGGTACGTCGAGGCATGCGGCTGTATGAGGTCACGCTGGTCAGAGCCCCCGTTAAAATCCTCGCAGTTATGAGCAGGATTCCTTAGCGTGTAATTCAATGAGGTTTTTGCTTGCCGCGGCCTCCCTGTAAATATCTCCGGCTCGGCTTTGTGATTCCGGCGTTCCAGCATCACATCCAGAGTCCGGTTACCGCTCTGAAAGCTGTTTGCATTTTAAGTCACAGAAGTTAAGGTTCCATAAAGAACAAGTGACTGCTAAAGATGAGATGAGCCTTCTGTTGGTGGAATAATTAACATATTTAGAAGTGAAACTAAACATTCAAACCAACATAAAAACAGTATTTTCAGTCAGAAAGCTGGATGCACGGCTGCAAAAAGTTCAGAGTTCGACAGACTAGTCTCTAATGGACACTTAATGGACTGCGAAGTCGCCGAGATCAAGCCAAAGGCAGCAAACCGTCCAGAAGTCTTCACCTCTGTGGATTCGCTCACACCTTGACAGGCCTGGAGGTCACAGGTGGGTTAGTTCACCTGGTTATTACATCACTGGAGTGGCTCAGGTCAGGGTGGGAGTAAACCGCAGCAAGAAACGCACAAAAAACACTCAGTTATTCATCAATCTACTGTTATTAGCTGGTTTGGACTGCGTGTAGTTTCTGCTATTATAGATAAAATGCACAATCGAACATTCACACCAGCTAGTTGTGGCGTTTCCATGTGAACAAGTTGACAGACTGTCTCGAAATGCGGCTTTTTTTCCCCTTAATATTCAAATAATATCGCAGTGAGCTCAACATTCATGTCTGATTGATGCTTTCACCGATTAAAACGACAAAAAAACGCTGGTTACTTATCACGGTATCACTGATTAATGCTAATTCTGCAACTAACACGGTGACAGACGAGTTAAACACAGACTTTTACATATTTAATCACCATTTATCTCAATAAAAGCCTCAGATTTGACTTTGTAATAATAGAAACTCAACATCGCTGGACTAAAACTCGATCCCTAATCTTACAGGAGTTCACTGACCTTTCTGACGTGGAGAACACAGCGTCGCTTCATGCCGTGCTCAAAGTCTTTTTCGCATCAGATGTTCGTTCACGCTTCGTAATCCGCGTCCAATTCAGCAGCCGGGTGACGTGAACGATAACCTTTGTTTTCTCTCCCGTTAGCGGTTCGATACGCTAAACTGTGGCTCTGCTGAAAACACGATTGATCACATGTGCGGTGATGAGTTTGCCCCATTTTCTGCAACGAGCATCAAAGTTCTAGATGTAAGATGAAGGCCTTTAGAGGAATAATACAACAGTTCAGCGCACTGAAACAAGTAGAAACAGGCTGCTACACGTACAGTAGGTTTAAAGAGGTTTAAGAAGCGCTTTAAAAAGGCTGCAGCACTTCTAATGTTTGTGCCATTTGAACATATTTGCATATGAAGGGACGGTGAACAAAGCAGCGCTTTATAATGCAGTAAACAGAAATTGATTTTATTCATCAGCTGCTCTTTTGCCCAGCGCCTCCTCAGGAGACGCCGCTCTGGCTGCAGGGCCTCGTCTTGACCTTGTCTGCCTCCTCTCGAGCTCGGTTGTTGACGCCGAGCGAGCGGATCGTCTTCGCCTCGGCTGACTCGGCGGACTCGCCCACAGCAACAACACCTGTCATTATCTCCGGTCCGGCTCCGCTGCCGGGCCGCGGTTAGCCGCTTGAAAGTGGAGCAGTTGTTGAGGGAGCGTTTCCCAGGGTCGCGGTGTGAGCAGCACTGTTTTACCTTTTCTTGCGGCCAGCGGGAGCCTCAGGCCTGACCTCTGACAGCAGGACGGTTGATGATTTCCCTCCAGACTTGGCAGGTTCACAGCATACAGAGTAGTCATTAAGTATTTTACTATTATTATTATTATTGTTTAACCGTGACCCTGAAGTAAAATGAAGAAACCAGTTGATAGAAAGCATTTAACAATTTATTCCTCAATAACGAACTCAGCTGAGCTTAAAGACTGGGAACACCTGGCACGGTTCTGCTCAAATACAGCAAAATCAGCTTATTACCGCCTCCAAAGTTCACTAATTAACACATTTTACTTGTGAAATATGCGCCGGGCTAAGCTGACCAGCTGCCGACTGGAGCTTTGTAATGTGTTAACCGTTTCATGCAGCTCCCAGCAAGAAAGGAAATAAACTTATTTCCAAAAATTCCTCTCCTAGTGTGGTTCGTATATGTAGTTGTAGGTGTTCCACTTGCCGGTAATATTTTAATAACAAACCGGAGACGACACAAGAAAAAGCAAATAATTAAACACTTATTTACTTCCTCCCACAAATCCAGAAACATGTTGAGGTTAATTGGTGATTGTAAATTGTCCGTAGGTGTGAATGTGAGTGTGCTTGGTTGTCTGTCTCTAAGTGTAGCCCTGTGATAGACTGGTTACCTGAACCTGCCTTCACCCTGAGTCAGCTGGGATACGCTCCAGCCCCCCTAGTGAGGGTTAAGGTGTAGAGATGATGGATGGAAAGTCCTTGAGTTATTCATTAATGATTCATTAATTACCAGGTCGTCACTTCTTCCTCAGACAGTTTTGTCTACTGCGTTGTAAAGCGTCCATAAAGCACACTTCTTGTTCCGTTCACGTCCCAAACCGCCGAGCTGTCGGGCCTCTGGAGAGCGGCGGGTCAATGTGGGACATCCGAAAATATGGAGCATTTCCGTCTCCCCGTAATCATCTTAGTGGACAGACAAAACACGAGTAACCCACATGTATGCACACATGCGAGCAGGCGCGCTGCCAGGCAGGTCAGGTTCACTGAAGACTCCATTACAGAGAGTTCAAACACTAATCCAGTAATCTGGGACTTTACGACTTAATCCACAGCTTGCATGATGTGACCTGTGCCGCACTTGTTGGCAGGAGGAAGACGGCGGATTCTGTAGGAGCCTCTGACCTCCATCTGCTTCCATCGCTGCATATCAGATGATGTACAGTCATTCTATCTATAACATATACCAATGTGTGTCCCTTAAACGGTGCCGTTTTCAATCGGCAGCATAAAATGCCAGGAAATGTACTTTAACCTCTTTATTTTGAGCTTTTTGCCGTTTTTAGTTGTTTAAACTCTTTTCATTTCAATCACTGATATTATTTTTGTACTTCTAGGGTCCCGTGAAGTGCTTATAATAAAGGAATAGTTTGATATTTTCTCCGAGGAGAAGCTCAACATTACTCTTGCTGTAAATCTGTTTAGTAAATATGAATCTACAACCTGCAGTCGCTTGGCTTAGCTGAACACCCAGGCTGGAAACAAGTGAAAACACCCAACGTGGTTCTGTCCAAATATAGCAAAATCCGTTCATTAGCACCTCCAAAGTTCACTAATTAACACATTTCACTTGTAAAACATCTCGTGCCGGGGTAAGCTGACCAGAGTTGTAATTTATGAACTGTTTCATGTGGATCCCTGAAAGAAAGTCAGAGAAACTCCATTCCTATTGCTGTTAGCTACATGGCTGTTAAGTGGGACAAAGCCTCCTGATGGACTGGTTCACTGAACGCTGGTGAAACTTTTTCCACCTTCCTCCAAAACAAACCAACAATCAGACAATCAACTCTTTCAAAGAACATGAAGGCAAATCAAGACAG